ATCGATGTTTGAAGGAAGCATCGATGAAGAATTCGTATTCAGCGCGATAGTTTTTCGCGCTGGGGTCAAGGTGATGGATCCTTGATGAATCGAACAATCGTGTTCGATAACGATCACTCGTCGTCGCCGACAAGTGATCCATGACTGATCTAGGAGGCATCCATGCCTTCTTATCTGGAGCGAGACGCAAGACATTGCGGTCCCGCTCTTCCTGCGACGTGCCGACAGAAGTACTGGCACCTCGCTGTGAAGTGGTGTAAATAGGAGAACCGAAACCACTGTGAGCGCCCGAGTCGTGCGATCTCGAGCGCCTTCGCTTTGGCGATGATTCATCTGATTCGTCATATGAACCAAGATGGTACGACGCATAGCATCATCCATGCCACGCTTGGCAGGCGGCTTGGTTTCGATCGCCGTAGATACAGATCCACCTTCCGTATCGGGAGAGTATTAGACACCGAGCTCATACTCTGTGAAGACATGAGTGTCTTCATGACGAGCGCCTGCATCATCAGGTGACACAGGCTGAGTCGCTTCAGCAACCGATGACACATCAGTTGCTGCGGTTTCTGCTTCGGCGTGCGCACAGAGACGTGCGGACGCGCTCTCGGCGGCCTTATTCGTACACCGCATGGACTTTTTAACCATGCGATGAACTGTTGGACTGTGGACTCGGACCAACAAGTGCAAACCCTGTCCCAAATGATTTGGGACGAGTATCCAATTAGTCAATCAGTCAATAAAGTGACTAATGGTTACGGGGGGTGATGTAACGGGGTGAATCGTTACATAACAATTTATTAGAAATTGTTGACAGAATATAACTATAAGAGTTATATTCTCAGAATATTGTCATCAGGACAATTATTCTGCAGCACTTACAAGTAGTTCCTAATTGGTTGATATAGGCCATTATATCAACCAACGAAGACGCGTCACGAGAGATGCACGCAATGAGTGGTGAGCAGATAGTTGATATGCACATTTGTCGTTAGAAATAGTTAGATGAGGATAAATAGTGATTTATGAACAGACATTAACTATGATAAATACAGTTCTACTTTTTACTTTAATCAAGTCCTCGCTTCTTCTTACCGTCTTCCTCTGCACGTACGAGTGTACGTGAAGTTACGAGGCACCGCCTTATTCTGTCATCAGAATAAGTAGCTTGTACTGTCACCAGTACAAGCTTCAGGGTGCCCCGTTACAGCTACCATCTCTCATCGACGCAGTCGTACGCTTTGATGATGCGTTGGCACTCGGACGGCGAGATTTCGGAGTTTGTGCGGACGTTTGTGCTGTTACACCAGGGCGTGCCGCCCCAGACTCCGCGCTTTGAGGTGGAAATTTATGAAGATTTGACATCGGTGCTGACGCAATTCAATCGCAAAAACGAAGTCCCGAAAGTGCAGGAGCTGGCTAGATCAGTGGGGTACACTGATTTGCTTGTTTAAGCATATTTGTTGGTGCGGTTGGCCGTGCCGCGCCACCCCGCGCCGCGCTCAAGGCATATTTACCCACAAAATAACGGTCCGTATCGTTCTTCTTTCACACGGCATTTCATTCTTTTTTGTTCCATCTATGCTATTATCCGGTGTCGACGTACTGCTCAAGCTGCTTAAGCAGGGGTTGGTAGAGCTTTTCGTTGGATTGAACAGCCCAAACAAAGTCCAAATGGCTAAAAGCTGCTGATCTCATTCTCATCGACAATTGTGCTGGACGGCAACGCAGATCGTAACTGATCGATGTCAGCTCGAGTGGCGAAGATGCCGTTTCATCAGTAAATAATCCAGTGCGAGGGTACTCCAAGCTGCTGATGGGAAAATCGGGCGGGTTAAAGCTGTCGTACTTGACTTTGTTGGTGCACCTGTTTTCGGACGCACGTGAATGCCAAGCGTGCGAGGACATCTACAGCCATAGTCGAACGCTGAAAGGTGTTTTCGCGGATGCTTTGGGCATAGTGGTGCATGCTCTTGACGGAGGTTCCTGAGGGCACATCTGAAGCGTAATCGTCTGTACGAGATGCGTTCAAGCTCTCGTAGATTTGACTACGAGTGCGAACCCCGAGGCGCACAATTCCGGACCCATGTGACATGCAGCCGGTTGAATGCTTTTTGGTAGCAACGCGTTATGCGAAAAGAGCTGGACTTGACCGGGGGCCTCGACGACCTTGTCGAAGTAGGCACGAGCAAGGAGCTGAACGTCCTCGAATCTGTATTGCCTAGCCAGGCAACAGGTCCCAGAGTCGCACAATAGGACACGGATCGAGCAAGGGTCTGGTTTTTGCAGCAAACGCAACGAATGCCTGAGTTGACCCCTGCAGGTACCCGACAAGAGCCAGTGTCTCCCGTCCCGACGTCTCCAGAGCATAGTTGAGCATTGCTGGCATGTCAAACTGCCCATGTCTTCCCATGAAAGGCCCAGAACGCAGTGTCTTTGGTCGTGTACTTAACGTGGCTGGACGAGTACGTGTTGCCGCGATTATTCCCAAGCCAGACATCGTAGCCAGCATCAGCAAGCACAAAGGCGAGACTGTGGTTCCGGGTGTCGCACACCCATGCGAAACTACTGGCCACCGTTTCATGCTGGACGAAAACAGCTGGTTTGTTTCGGTCTGCCTTGTCGTTGTCGGTGGTACCTGCTTGGCTTTCTTCGTACGACGTTGGTAAGCGATGCATGGAGAGGATGTATCCATCTATTTTTCGTGACTTGTGCGTCTCCACTACGTAGCCACGCGCTTGAATGAGCTCAACAGTAGACTTCCCAGCATCTGGATCGAGGTCTAGCTCAGCTGCCGTGACTTTGTCGAAGTGCACGAGCGAGTGAGTCAACGCAACCAGCACGAGTTCCGAGCACAGGACCACGAGGGCTTTGTCTCGAGATGAAAAACCTCCCGCAGTGTTGACAGGATGACGTTTACGATAATGAATGTGCGGCACCAAATCACGCGAAACCGAAGAATACACAGCACAGATTCGTGCACTTTGGTTCGCCTTCTGTCTTGTGGTCTTTCTTGGCGTCTCCTTTGTCATTTGCACCTCACCAGTTGTCGTCCCCTTTACTGCCGCCGACTTTCCATCATTTGACTGCTACAAGGGCTCGATGATCCATTAAATTGGGCGAGCAGCACCTCTGCTTAACGTCCGCTTTGTAATCGTCATCATCAAGTTGATTACTCGTGTCGTTTCTTTTACTGCCATAATCAGCACAAGGGCTCATCTGCCGCTGCGTGCGACTTGAGACCGTGTTTTCTGTCGAAAATGCCACGTGTGTACACATTTCGATCAAAAATAGAATCCGAAACGCTCCCGAGGCAACTCTTAACGTTGCATAGGTGATAGGATATCAGAGACTAGTGACTGAATGCAGAGAGTGCTGACATAATGCAGAGAGTGCTGACTAGAGATGACGTTGTGCAGGTGTTCATTATACTTATTTTGACTACCATTTTATAGGTGAGGTAGGTAAAGATGACGTGAGCCATGTAGTCGGTCTTGGGACGAGGTACATGAGATGACTAGACCTCAGTACAGAAGAACAAGTAAGAGACTGCAGGAAGTGTAGTCGCTTGATGGGTTGAACAAGCATGGAGAGTATGCCTGATTGGTGAGAGAAATGCGTACTTACTCCCACGTCGCAGACTCGGATCGGTGCATCTCACGGGTCGGAGCAAAGACATGAGCGAGGACGACTTCATTCTGAAAAAATCGACATCAGCAACACTCGAGTCTTCAACACAATCGCTTTGACAACTTAACCAGTTTGAACAAACATGGTGAGTGCATGATTCATTTCTCGATCTATCAATTTACTTGTTGCTGACGTTCCTCTTCTGTGTGCATGTGTTTACTAGTGGATTAATATGGAGATCCAGAACTTATACAACCTCGTTGAAGAGAGTATCCGTCATGTACTGAGTGTGCTGTCGGAGATTGCTTCCAAAGCATGCGGAATCTACGACAAGAGCGTTAGTCCCACTGATTGGGACTTCAACCAGCTCACCAAGCTGCGCTCAAGTGATGAGAAGCACTGCACCATTGGGTGTAGACATGCACTTCGCCCTCTAAAGGAAACAAGCAGGCACAACAAGTGCCTGCTACCCAAGCAGGTATGACAGATGCCCATCCGGCGAACAGGTTCAAGTTGAAGCCTATTTGCAACGAGATTAATACCAAGGAGTTCATGCAGCTCGTTGCTACTCGCGATCCTGATGAAGATGGTGAAGATAGGACGTGGTACAGCCGGACACTGCTCCATTTAAAGAACAAGCGCCAACGCCAGTTGAGCCACTACGATCGAGCTGATTCGTTTTGTTCGACCAACTCAAGTGTTGACTAGTTTACACTTACAATGTCTTAGCCGTAGTCTAGCGATAAACGTTTTTAATATATCTATCTGTTAAACGTGGTTTGCGACTTTATTGATGTTAACAATAAAAGCATGCTCAAGAAACATGCGCAGTCACAGCAACAATACTCTGTACTGATGCGACAGCCTTCTGTAAACGCGCATGTATTATCTTATTCAGCTAAACTCGTCTAATTCGCTCCGACAGCTGCAAGTCGAGCCGGCTGCAGCAACACATCTGACAGTTTTCTTGGAGCCACGTTCACGCCAGTAAGATTCACGTTCATCCGCACGTTCGTGATAGCCAATGCTTCAGATGTAAAACTAAGTCACGCTAAGCGGGGTGTGAACAAGTGGTCACGAATGAAAACGTCAAGTCACATTGAAGCTTATAGTGGTCTGGCGCGTGAAAGTATCATTGAGCAAAGTGGAAGGACTAGTGAGCAGACTCGAGCAGGGGATGTGGTAGTATCGGCTTCATTGTAACATGAAGGCACCCGAGGTATAAAAGTGAATTCATTGCATGGTAAAAGTACTGACGCAGCAACAACTTGTGCATTGGTTCATGCATAATTCGTGTAGCAATGGCTGCTACGTTTCTCGATATTGACACAGGACGCGCTCTCGAATCTGATCGGTTGTTGAAGTAAATCTTACCCGTAGTTTCCAACGCCGATTGAACACAAGCAAATCCACATGTCACACGTACCACCACTGAACATGTATTCACTCGTGCCTGTAGTACCTGGACGATCAGCGCCTGTTGTCTTCCGCTCTAATGTCCTTGCGAGCAGTGCCAACGCTCGCGTCATGGCTTCACGCTCGCTCGTACGGGAAGACTTTGTCTGCACACTCAACACGGCACGCATCTCCGACTCTTCGCTATCAGGCTCCCACTCGATGAAGGCGGCCTCGGGGTAAATGCCGCGAATAACCTCTTCTACTTCTTGCACCTCTTTCTCGACAAGACGAGTCACATCCTCCGCGTACCAAGCAAGAATGAGCGGCAAATCTTTAGTCAGAGCGCTTTAATTATGCAGAGCGTTCGCAAGAGAGAGAGAGGGGGGGAGATGGTCTTTACCTCGCGGGGACGCAGTCATGACTGTGCTGACGAGTCAGTTGCTGTGGTGGACACTAAATACGACCTGCTTGTGACGAAGCTCAACATTGGTGTGGACGACATTAAGCACTAACTTCTCGTTTGTTTCAAGCAAACAAACGGCTCGAGATGCTGCGTCGGGTGTGGCAGCGAGCAGGTATGTGGCAGTCACCCGACGCGGTTCTATTGCGCCGTTGCTGTTAATGCACAGGACCGTGTGCTGCCGCGTCTACAAGATCGGTCCTCGCCACGCGCTTCGGCGCTGCGTCCGCGCGCGCGGTCGCCAGTCAATCAGACGCTGCCGGAAAAAACGCTCCGCAGTCCGAACCAATTGAACGTTTTATTGTCCAATCAAACGCCGCCCACGACTTTTGTAGCCACTTGTTGCGCGTTGCGCGCCATTGACGAGACAGCGCTATTGGTGACGATTGACGTCCGGACGTGGAACGTGGCACTGCAGCGACGACCGGAGGCTCAAGGCGAACGCGTGGCAGCGGAGCTCTTGGGTCTAATCGCGAGTTGTAGTTGCGAAAATGCAAGTGTACCCATGTGGACCGATTTGTTTTTTACAGTGTGACGACAGCGTTCTTTACGCGGGTTTCGAACGGATGAGATGCAGGAGCTCTTGAGACAGTTGAAGCGGAGATACGGACCGCAATTTGTAGCCCGCGTGCTCGTAGCCGTGGTCAATGGCTGTGCCAATATCAAGATGTTTGCAGCTGCTCACGAGCTGCTGCTGTATCAGCAGACGTTGTGGTCGGAGATTCGCTCTGGTACTACTACTACTACAGACGAGACGTTGACGACGGGGTGGAGCGAGCAGAGTAAAGCGCTGATGCCGCCATCAGTGGTTGGCCACTTGATGGCCAAGATGACGCACAGGAAAAAGCACGGTCAAGTGCTGGCGCTTGCACGCGCGTATTTTGCTAGTGCTGCGTTCGATCCAGTGCGAGATTTATAGCAACAAGGGTTCCTTGAACTGTTTAAAGCAAGTGTGTACACGCAACAGAGTCCGAAATGTGGTGCACGTGTTTTTGGACTACGTGGAGGGAACGTGCCGTGCAGCAGGAGGCAAGGTGGAGAGAGTGAGGACACGAGTGCTCCAGCGAGGCTTTGGAGCTGCGATTCACTGCTGTGTAAAGATTGATGAATATTCGCTGGCGTTGCATTGTTATGAAGTGATGGAAAGCACACGAGAGAGGCTCGCTTGTGCTGGGGACGGCTTACCGGTGGACGACGCGATCGACGAAGCTGCAGAGAGGGTTGGTATCGTGGATGAAGTGCTGCTAGCTGATGAAAATATATACGTCAACGTGTTGAAAGCATGTATGGAGATCGAGGATTTCTCCGCGTTTAAAGACGCGTTCCGCGGGATGGTAGCTAGAGGTGTGGCTCGTAGTGCTGGATTCTGGTCAGCGATTCGTTATTGTCACAAGCATTTGGATCCAGTGTTTCATGAAGAAGTGTTGGACGGGGTATTCTGGACAGAACAGAAGTTTGCAGGTGCCTGGACACTAGAGGAAGAAAACTATAACGATGCGCTTGGCTGTTTTGCCGCTACAAATAGACCGGGACAAGCCAAGGAGCTGTTCTCGCAAATGCTGAACAACTCGTCGATAGTGCCCGGCATATTACGATGCTTGAGATGGTGGAGAGTCAGTGCAACGCCTCGATCGAGGAGGCGTTTCATCTCATGGACGTGTTTCTTGAGTGGAAGCGAACATCGAATCTTCAGGTGTTCACATCGCTGCTGTCCATCTACATGCGCCGTCGTGAAGTAGGCAATGCTGTTGCGCTCATTGGTGCGATGGAAGAGTATGGTATCGTTCAGGATGTGAAGGCATTCACGACTGTGGCGTTCATTCATGCATCTCGCGGTGACTTGAAGGCTGTGGAAGACGTGTTACGAGACATGGCTAGTGAAGGTGTTGCTACCGACAGGATGTTCTTTGACTACGTCCTCAACGCACTGTACGGGTCGTGCGGTATCGACATGTGTTTCTCGCTCTTGCGTGAGCTGAGTGCAAACGAGCTGGCGATTCCAGACGGGCTGTACATCTCGCTAATTGATCTCGGTACCACGATTGGTTTGATTGAGCGCACGGTGCATATTGCGTACAACATGGAGTGCGAAGGCTACCATCTCTCATCGACGCAGTTGTACGCGTTGATAATGCGTTGTCACTCGGACGGCGAGATTTCGGAGTTTGTGCGGACGTTTGTGCTGTTACACCAGGGCGTGCCGCCCCAGACTCCGCGCTTTGAGGTGGAAATGTATGAAGATTTGATATCGGTGCTGACGCAATTCAATCGCAAAAACGAAGTCCCGAAAGTGCAGGAGCTGGCTAGATCAGTGGGGTACACTGATTTGCTTGTTTAAGCATATTTGTTGGTGCGGTTGGCTGTGCCGCGCCACTCCGCGCCGCGCTCAAGGCATGTTTACCCACAAAATAACGGTCCGTATCGTTCTTCTTTCACACGGCATTTCATTGTTTTTTGTTCCATCTATGCTATTATCCGGTGTCGACGTACTGCTCAAGCTGCTTAAGCAGGGGTTGGTAGAGCTTTTCGTTGGCTTGAACAGCCCAAACAAAGTCCAAATGGCTAAAGCTGCTGATCTCTTTCTCATAGACAATTGTGCTGGACGGCAACGCAGATCGTAACTGATCGATGTCAGCTCGAGTGGCGAAGATGTCGTTTCCACCAGTAAATTATCCAGTGCGAGGGTACTCCATGCTGCTGATGGGAAAATCTGGTGGGTCAAAGCTGCCGTACTTGACTTTGTTGGTGCACCTGTTTTCGGACACAGGTGAATGCCAAGCGTGCGAGGACATCTGCAGCCATAGTCGAACGCTGAAAAGGTGTTTTCGCGGATGCTTTGGGCATAGTGGTGCATGCTCTTGACGGAGGTTCCTGAGGGCACATCTGAAGCGTAATCGTCTGTACGAGATGCGTTCAAGTTCTCCGTAGATTTGACTACGAGTGCGAACCCCGAGGCGCACAATTCCGGACCCATGTGACATGCAGCCGGTTGAATGCTTTTTGGTAGCAACGCGTTATGCGAAAAGAGCTGGACTTGACCGGGGGCCTCGACGACCTTGTCGAAGTAGGCACGAGCAAGGAGCTTGAACGTCCTCAAATCTGTATTGCCTAGCCAGGCAAAAGGTCCCAGAGTCGCACATTAGGAGACGGATCGAGCAAGGGTCTGGTTTTTGCAGCAAACGCAACGAATGCCTGAGTTGACCCCTGCAGGTACCCGACAAGAGCCAGTGTCTCCCGTCCCGACGTCTCCAGAGCATAGTTGAGCATTGCTGGCATGTCAAACTGCCCATGTCTTCCCATGAAAGGCCCAGAACGCAGTGTCTTTGGTCGTGTACTTAACGTGGCTGGACGAGTACGTGTTGCCGCGATTATTCCCAAGCCAGACATCGTAGCCAGCATCAGCAAGCACAAAGGCGAGACTGTGGTTCCGGGTGTCGCACACCCATGCGAAACTACTGGCCACCATTTCATGCTGGACGAAAACAGCTGGTTTGTTTCGGTCTGCCTTGTCGTTGTCGGTGGTACCTGCTTGGCTTTCTCTGTACGACGTTGGTAAGCGATGCATGGAGAGGATGTATCCATCTATTTGTCGTGACTTGTGCGTCTCCACTACGTAGCCACGCGCTTGAATGAGCTCAACAGTAGACTTCCCAGCATCTGGATCGAGGTCTAGCTCAGCTGCCGTGACTTTGTCGAAGTGCACGAGCGAGTGAGTCAACGCAAGCAGCGCGAGTTCCGAGCCCAGGACCACGAGGGCTTTGTCTCGAGATGAAAAACCTCCCGCAGTGTTGACAGGATGACGTTTACGATAATGAAGGTGCGGCACCAAATCACGCGAAACCGAAGAATACACAGCACAGATTCGTGCACTTTCGTTCGCCTTCTGTCTTGTGGTCTTCCTTGGCGTCTCCTTTGTCATTTGCACCTCACCAGTTGTCGTCCCCTTTACTGCCGCCGACTTTCCATCATTTGACTGCTACAAGAGCTCGATGATCCATTCAATTGGGCGAGCAGCACCTCTGCTTAACGTCCGCTTTGTAACCGTCATCATCAAGTTGATTACTCGTGTCGTTTCGTTTACTGCCATAATCAGCACAAGGGCTCATCTGCCGCTGCGCGTGACTTGAGACCGTGTTTTCTGTCGAAAATGCCACATGTGTACGCATTTCGATCAAAAATAGAATCCGAAACGCTCCCGAGGCAACTCTTAACGTCGCATAGGTGATAGGATATCAGAGACTAGTGACTGAATGTAGAGAGTGCTGACATAATGCAGAGAGTGCTGGCTGGAGATGACGTTGTGCAGGTGTTTATTATACTTATTTTGACTACCATTTTATAGGTGAGGTAGGTAAAGATGACGTGAGCCATGTAGTCGGTCTTGGGACGAGGTACATGAGATGACCAGACCTCAGTATAGAAGAACAAGTAAGAGACTGCAGGAAGTGTAGTCGCTTGATGGGTTGAACAAGCATGGAGAGTATGCCTGATTGGTGAGAGAAATGCGTACTTACTCCCACGTCGCAGACTCGGGTCGGTGCATCTCACGGGTCGGAGCAAAGGCATGAGCGAGGACGACTTCATTCTGAAAAAATCGACATCAGCAACACTCGAGTCTTCAACACAATCGCATTGACAACTTAACCAGTTTGAACAATCATGGTGAGTGCATGATTCATTTCTCGATCGATCAATTTACTTGTTGCTGACGTTCCTCTTCTGTGTGCATGTGTTTACTAGTGGATTACTATCGAGATCCAGAGCTTATGCAACCTCGTTGAAGAGAGTATCCGTCATGTACTGAGTGTGCTGTCGGAGATTGCTTCCAAAGCATGCGGCATCTACGAGAAGAGCGTTAGTCCTACTGATTGGGACTTCAACCAGCTCACCAAGCTGCGCTCAAGTGATGAGAAGCACTGCACCATTGGGTGTAGCCATGCACTGCGCCCGCTAAAGGAAACAAGCAGGCACAACAAGTGCCATGCTACCCAAGCAGGTATGACAGATGCCCATCCGGCGAACAGGTTCAAGTTGAAGCCTATTTGCAACGAGATTAATACCAAGGAGTTCATACAGCTCGTTGCTACTCGCGATCCTGATGAAGATGGTGAAGATAGGACGTGGTACAGCCGGACACTGCTCCATTTAAAGAACAAGCGCCAACGCCAGTTGAGCCACTACGATCGAGCTGATTCGTTTTGTTCGACCAACTCAAGTGTTGACTAGTTTACACTTACAATGTCTTAGCCGTAGTCTAGCGATAAACGTTTTTAATATATCTATCTGTTAAACATGGTTCGCGACTTTATTGATGTTAACAATAAAAGCATACTCAAGAAACATGCGCAGTCACAGCAACAATACTCTGTACTGATGCGACAGCCTTCTGTAAACGCGCATATATTATCTTATTCAGCTAAACTCGTCTAATTCGCTCCGACAGCTGCAAGTCCAGCCGGCTGCAGCAACACAGCTGACAGTTTTCTTGGAGCCACGTCCACGCCAGTAAGATTCACGTTCATCCGCACGTTCGTGGTAGTCACTGCTTCAGATGTAAAACTAAGTCACGCTAAGCGGGGTGTGAACAAGTGGTCACGAATGGAAACGTCAAGTCACATTGAAGCCTCTGGCAGCCTGGCGCATGAAAGTAGCATTGAGCAAAGTGGAAGGACTAGTGAGCAGACTCGAGCAGGGGATGTGGTAGTATCGGCTTCATTGTAACATGAAGGCACCCGAGGTGTAAAAGTGAATTCATTGCATGCTAAAAGTATTGACGCAGCAACAACTTGTGCATTGGTTCATGCATTGTTCGTGTAGCAATGGCTGCTACGTTTCTCGATATTGACACAGGACGCGCTCTCGAATCTGATCGGTTGTTGAAGTACATTTTATCCGTAGTTTCCAACGCCAATTGAACACAAGCAAATCCACATGTCACACGTACCACCACTGAACATGTATTCACTCGTGCCTGTAGTACCTGGACGATCAGCTCCTGTTGTCTTCCGCCCTAATGCCCGTGCGAGCAGTGCCAGCGCTCGCGTCATGGCTTCACGCTCGCTCGTACGGGAAGACTTTGTCTGCACACTCAGCACGGCACGCATCTCCGACTCTTCGCTATCAGGCTCCCACTCGATGAAGGCGGCCTCGGGGTAAATGCCGCGAATAACCTCTTCTACTTCTTGCACCTCTTTCTCGACAAGACGAGTCACATCCTCCGCGTACCAAGCAAGCATGAGCGGCAAACCCTTTTCGAAATCTTTTGTCTCTAAAAACAACGGCTTGTACCTACCCAGGCCAAGACAAAACAAAACACACGTCGTTAGTACCGAAGAATGAGCAGGACAAAACGAATCATGACGCTTACATTCGCAGCAGTTTCGCCGCCAAGAACGTCCCATCGAAGTCAACTTCAGCCTAGAACATGCCAAAAATACTGCACGGGTCAAGACCTAACACAAGTGGCGGTACAAGTCGCGCTGTCCTGCCGTCATACCTTGTAATTAAATGTAGATGGCCCGACCCACTGTGACTGGACAGCATAGACATTGTCAATGGACGGACGCGCCAGCAGCAGCTCACGGATGCCATTCTCGATTTCCAGTTCCACTTACTGGCCCAATAAATACTTCTGATTCATTCGAATGAGCGATATTGCAACACCGCCAAGAAGCACGCCAATCGATACACTAGCGAGACTGTCCCACACCGGGTTGCCAGTAATGTGGCTGGCCCCAATGCCACATCCAGCAATAACAACACCTACACAAGCTGATAAATCCTCAAGCAGCACAGCCATCAGAAACGGATCCTTTGTCCGCGTCACATGCTTGTAAAACGACATGTCTTGGGGATGAGAAGCCCTCAGTCCCTGTACCGACCGCTTCAGCACCCATCCGTCAATGCCGAAAGAAGCTGCTAGCACATCCCACACTTCCCACGAAAGAAAAAGCTCTTTCGGAGGATCCAAGAGCGACTGGATCCCGTGGACAACCGTCACCCCAGAACCTAACCAGAATATGCCAAGCGCAGAGATGAGCGACCAAAAGTACATAGCACGTGTGTATCCATATTGGTGCTTTTTATGCGGCACACCCGATGCTTGCTTCAACCCCAAGATCAGAATCGCCTGGTTGCCAGTGTCCACGAGCGAGTGAATTGCTTCCGAGAGCATGGCATTCGAGCCCGTCTTGAGCCACGCCAGCACTTTGAGCGTCGTAATGAGCGTGTTGCCGACCAAGGATCGAAGCTCCACGTCTTGAGACGTCGAACGGCACACTTTACCTGGAAAATAGGCCTGATTCACGTCCGTACGGAGCTTCCGCATAGGGTACGTGAGTTCAACAGCCATTGTCCGGAACGGCTCCTCCTCCTTATTGTCCCCGTCCTCTTGTCCACTTGCGCCATCATCACCACTGCCTTTTGTACCCATCTTCTTCTCCTCCTTCCTCTTCATCTCAGGAGCTTGTTCAGTATCAAAGTCTTGTCCATTAGGGACTGTCGTTGCAAGCCATCGGAGCGAAAGCGACTGCGTCACCGCGATCGGAACTGGACAAGACAACATGCGACGATGGAGACGCATCCAAGAGACAGGCAGCGTGCGCACGCTCTATGAACGCCGCAGCGACAACTGCAGCGAGCGCAGCATGTGGCGAGCTGTTGCCAGCCTTGGAAGCCCCGACACGTTAAGTGATGTGGTGCACACCAGTATCCAGCGCGCCTGCGAGTTTTCGACGGGCTTTAGTTTTAGTATTCCATCAAAGAGAGAACAAAAACAAGAGAGAGAGAGAGAGCGCGCGTTTCGAAGTGCTACGATGCGACTCGTCGATTACTTTGTCAAGATTGTTGCCAACAACGTGTTTTTTTTGCGATGCAGCATCTGTTGGTGAGGCAGATTTGGAATGGAGACCTCGTGTACTGTGCTTGATTTCGCATCACCACTTCTTTCGCTTTTCAGCTGCGGCAACGTCACGCCCAGCGGGGCGCGAACAAGTGTGGTCACGAATGGAAACGTCAAGTCACATTGAAGCCTCTGGCAGCCTGGTGCATGAAAGTAGTATTGAGCAAAGTGGAAGGACTAGTGAGCAGACTCGAGCAGGGGATGTGGTAGTATCGGCTTCATTGTAACATGAAGGCACCCGAGGTGTAAAAGCGAATTCATCGCATGCTAAAAGTATTGACGCAACAACGACTTGTACATTGGTTCATGTAACGGGGTGAGTCGTTACATAACAATTTATTAGAAATTGTTAATAGAATATAACTATAAGAGTTAAATTCTCAGAATATTGTCATAAAGATGAATTTTCTGTAGCACTTACGAGTAGTTCCTAATTGGTTGATATAGGCCATTATATCAACCAACGAAGACGCGCCACGACAGACGCACGCAATGAGTGGTGAGCAGATAACTGATTTACACATTTGTATTTAGACATAGTTAGATGAAGATAAATAGTGATTTATTGCAGACATTAACTATTATAAATACAGTTCTACTTTTTACTCTAACCAAGTACTCGCTTCTTCTTACCGTCTTCCTCTGCACGTACGAGTGTACGTGAAGTTCCGAGGCACCGCCTTATTCTGTCATCAGAATAAGTAGCTTGTACTGTCACCAGTACAAGCTTCAGGGTGCCCCGTTACACCTGGTAGCACTTGTTGTCCGTCCAAGGACCGCGTTCACATCCAACATGAATATGTTGGATGATGAAGATGACCAAAGCTTTCACGCTACGCGTGACGGCTACTCCCATTTGAGCGATGTCGAATGGGATGCGGTTGAACGAATGGGTTCGATCATGGGCATCCATGCTGTTAGCGTCATGCTAGAGGCTCTCAATAGAGATGCCCAACATGCTACTATCGCCAAGTTCATTCAAAATGAACTTGACGCAGAACGCGAGAAAGTAGCCTTGCTTCACCAACAAGGTTCCCAACAATCAAAGTTGTTGAGAGAACAGGGTGCTCAACAGTTTGAACTGTTGAGACAGCAGCAGGCTGCTGCTGGTGGGTCGATGCACTCGCGTCGACCCGAGACTTTGAAGATTGACATCTCAAAGTATAGGGGGGTCGAAGAAGACTCCCCCTTGAGATGGTTCGTCGAATTGGATGACGCCATAAGGGCGCGTCGCATCGACGACGGGGATACGCAAGTGGCAGTTGCCCAATCAAATCTGGCAGGACGTGCCAAGACTTGGGCACTGGGGCTCAAGTTGCACGACCCATATGCGTTTGGGTCGTTGGAAGTCTTCAAGTCGTGGCTCAGACAAACGTTTGAACCGCCTAGAGCTGAGTTCAGGGCTTGAACCAAACTCTTGAAGCTCAAACAGGGTAAGCGTGATGTGCACGCTTACGCTCAACATATACGACATCTCACGAGTTGTATAAGTTCCAATCCGGTGGATGAACACACGTTGGTTTCGGTGCTCATGCAGGGTCTTGCGGATGGTCCCGTCAAGACTCACCTGTTCCGGCTTGAACTAGATTCACTAGAACAAGCCATTTCCATTGCGGAGCAGGAAGACTTCAGTCTGAGACAGGCTCGCGCCAGCTCGACATCATATCGTCAACCGAGACGATATGACAACGGAGGTCCAGAGCCGATGGAACTATGTTACGTAGAGAGCGAGAAGGCTCGCTCTACAGGCTACAAGAAGTTGTAGAGATGCAACAGATGTCAAAAGACAGGAAACTACGCTTACGAGTGTAGTGCCCCTCGTCCAGTGTCTCGCGACACTGGGCGTAGTGACCGTCCACCCATGAGAAAGGGGCAGGGACGAGGGTCCGCAGTTGGTGCAAAGACGCAACAACGGGATGGACCGTCAAAAAACGGACAGGATCAGTAGGTGCGGAGCACCCTACTGATCCAGCAACGTCAAGAGAATTTGTAGGCCTCTTGATGAAGGTTGCTCCCAACACACAAACGTTGTGCTTGCTGCTCTAGGTAATGAGGTCTCACTCATTACCTTGAAACTCGAAGTGACGAATAAGTTGTCCCTTCGAGCTCTAGTCGATTGTGGGGCGTCCAACAATTTTGTGCGACGCCAATCGCTAGTAGATGGTCACTTTAAATTCAGTGAATGTGACACACCTCCTACGAGGATGACGGTACGTCTTGCGACAGGCGCATCCGTAACCGTCATGAAGCGTACAGTGAAGATCCACTATACGCTAGAAGATACCCAATATGACGATGACTTTATCGTATTGGATTTGGATGACAAATTTGATGTCATACTTGGAATACCGTGGCTCAGAAGGTACGAACCACGGGTAAACTGGCAACATCGGACAGTAACGATGCCTGCCACTTGTTCATCAGATGGCCACCTGATGAACGTTTTGGAGCGTCCACAAGCGTGTGGATGTACTACGAGTGAGTGCGATGGCCTCACTTGTGGTACGGTCGTTAGTACGACTGCACAAAACCTTAGTGTACCAAACGGTTACACTTCGGAGAAAAGTTCCGGCGGCTGTGTGGAAGCACAGGCTGCGCCAAAGGTCCACCACTCGAATAAGTCGAGTGGACCGGGACAAGATGTATCCCCAGCGGGGAACATCTAGAAGAGAAACAACCGATCGCTCAGGTTAAGCGAAACGATAATCCTAGATCGACTGGAGAGTCTTTCGTAGAGGATCTCGCTGTGGTTGCGCAACCCCAGCGAGAGGAAGTAAAGGGAATAAGTCCCAAGATTACAAATACGGCGGAAATAAGTTCCCCGAAACCCGCGGGAATAAGTACCCGGGAAGCCGAAGGAATAAGTCCTTCGAAGCCTGAGGGAATAAGTCCCCAGGAAATGACAGAGACATTAAATGTCATAGTCAATAACGGATCAATTGTAGGCGCTTATACACTTGATCTGATTGCGCCTCCGAAGTTGACTTCGGATATCACTCAGTTGCCAACGCTCGAACATAAAAGGTTCTTGCGTGATCTGCGTAGTGGCAAAGTCAAGCAGATCTGCGTACTCATCGCTGACGACGAGTGCGTATCCGACATAAGGTCAGCAAAGTGTTTACTGAGAACGAGAGAGTTCTCAGTAGTTCATCTATGGACGAGAGTGTCCTAGATGAAAAGACACGAGTTGAGCGATATGACTCCCAATCGTGGGAATCGCTCAAGACAAATCCTCTCTATGAGGATTTGGTTGAATTCAAGGATGTATTCCCTGAAACAGTTCCGTGCGAATTACCGAAGGATAAAGGTATTCGACACGAGGTCGAGCTTAAACCAGGCTCGAAGTACTGTGTCATGAAGCAGTGGCCACTGCCTCGTGAACAAGTACTTGCGATCGACAAGTTCTTTGCCGATCGTTTAGCTGCGGTCCATGTGAGGGAATCAACTTCCCCACCTAGCTCTCCGACCTTCTGTGTGCGAAAAGCAACAGGAGGGTGGCGGATTGTGCATGCATTTAACAAGTTGAACGCTGCAACGGTACCGGCTCAGACGCCGATACCGAGGAAGGACGTAATCAATGATGGTATGTCAAAGAGTACCACCTTTTCGTCCATGGATTTGATGGATGGCTTCTATCAAAGCCTTATGCGGGAACGGGATACACCCTATACCGCAGTTAGCATGCCTCGCGGCATGCTCTGGGAATGGCTAGTAATGCCACAAGGACTTAGCAATGCCCCTGCCACGTTCAACAGATGTGTATCACATCTGTTGAGACCAGTACGAGAATTCGCGCCGAGTTATTTCGATGACGTATTCATCTAAAGTCGGGCTATGGATGGAAAGTCGGACGTTGAGGTCCACAGGTACCACGTCCGACAGGTTCTTACAATCATGCGAAAGCATCAATTGTATGCAAACCTCAAGAAGTGTATATTTGCAGCAAGCGAAATACCACTTCTTGGGTGCATCGTTGGTAAGAACGGTGTACGTCCTGATCCCGAAAAGATCAAGGTGATCACCGACTGGCTTGTGCCGGTTGATGTCAAAGGTCTTCGAAAATTCCTTGGGCTAGCGGCGTATTTGCACAAGTATTCACGCAATTACGCCGAGATGACTGTGCACCTCTCTCGTTTGTTGAAAAGAACGAGAGGTGGTTATGGAACACTGAATGTCAGCGCTCTTTTGAGGGTATCAAGCAGAGCTTGATACAATCCCCAGTCCTAGCAATATCCGATCAGGACAGGCCATTTCATGTGGTCTGTGATGCCAGCGATTTCGCAATCAGCTGTGCATTAATTCTGTACGATCTTGAAGGCGTTGAACGCGTCGTCTGCTATCAGCCGCGTCAGCTGCAACCAGCTGAGCGGAACTATCCAGTGCATGACAAGGAACTCCTTGCCATGAAGTATGCACTCGCGAAGTCCAGAGTCTATCTATTAGGAGACAGACCCTTCGTTGTTTACACTGACCATGCGTCATTACGCACGGCAGTGAACAGCCCGCACCTTTCACAACGAATGGCGCGGTGGTTGTCATTCTTTGCAGAATACGACTTTACGGTAGAGTACAAACCAGGACGACTTAATGTCGTCGCTGATGCACTCTCACGTCGTCCCGACTTTGAAACAGTCGCGAAACCCAACAGTGAGACAGTCACTGTTGCGGTTATGACGTCCTCG